GTAAACAGCTCACACTGGCCTCAAATTCACTATAGTCTGAGGCCTGAGCCTCCCACATGCTGGGATTACAAGGCATACCCCATGCCTGGCTCCAGGGTGCCTTAACCCGTCTGGTGATTAGATCTATATTGCACATTTTGACATATAAAAATGTTGCAGGCTATTTGATTCCGTTGTGAACCCCAAGATTGCGAACGAGAAAGAAAAGCCTGTTTCTCGTTGTGGTATGGCTCGTCCCTAGCACACAGCTTTAATCCAAGAACTAAATAAAGTCAACCATAGGTCAATAGGAGGAGCAAGAAGCCAATTAAAAGGGAGTGAACATAAGTGAACAGAAAGGAGAGACACTGAGTTGAGGGTATTTGAGACAGTGTGGAGAAGAAGGGGCTTTTTCCTTTTAGGATATGGGCTAAATAGGAAGGTCAGCTGGGTGCTTTCTCTGCCTCTCTGAACTAGCAATTTTTCAGCCCAGCATCTGGCTCCTAAGTCTTTCTTGGTAAAATCAAATGACTGTGATTTTGTTTTTAAAACAACACAAGGATCTGAACAGATGGTTTGCCAATTAAGAGCACTGGCTGCTCTTCCACAGGACTTGGGTTCAATTCCCAGCACCTACATGGCAGTTCACAACTGTCTGTAATTCCTGTTCTAGGGAATCTGACACGGTCACACAGACATACATGTAGTCAAAGCACCAAAATACATAAAATAAAAAATAAATTATTTAAGGCAGCGGAAGTAGTTGAAGAGACAGAACAAGATAGGAGAAGGAGTACAGAGGGAAATACAAGTGGGAAAACAAGGGTGGGGAGCAGATTTGGTGGGGACAGGAGGACAGAGGGCTTGCAGAGAGAAGAGAAACTGTGGGAGGGGCATTTCTGAGACAAGCTGGAGACCTACAACAGGGAGGCTCTAGGGAGGCTATGGGGGTGACTGTAGCTGAGACCCTTCATAGTGGGGGTCATGGAGACTGAAGAGGCCACTCTTTAACTAGACAGGACTTCTAGTGGAGGAAGGTGGGGCACCAACCTCATGCATAAAAGCTTCCCCTCAAAATTCACCCTTCTTACAAGATGAGCAGGGATAAAGATAGAGCAGAAATTGAGGAAATGTCCAACCAATCCCTGACCCAATCTAAAACCTACCCCATGGAAGAGAGCCAACCCCTGACACTAAACAATACTCTGCTATGCTTGCAGACTGGGGCCTCCCATAGCTGTCTTCTTTGAGGCTTCACCCAGAAAAGGATCAAAACAGATGCTGAGACTCACAGACAATGATTGGGCAGAGTGCAGGGAGCCTTGTGGAAGAGTTGGGGGAATGATAGAAGACCCAGAGGGCACAGGAGCTTCACAAATAGACCAACAGAGCCAACTAACATTCCAGGGGCACCTGTGGAGACTGAAGCACCAACCAAGGGCCATGCATGGATTGGATCTAGGTCCTCAACACATACATACCAGATAGGCAACTTGGTCTTCTTGTGGGTTTCCTAGTAAGGGGAGCATGGGCTGTTTCTGACATGGATTCTGTTGCATGCTTTTCAGTCACTTCCCCCTGGTGGGGCTGCCTTGCCAGGCCACTGTGGAAGAGGATGTGCTCAGTCATGAGGTGACTTGATGTGATGAGGTGGGTTAGTGGTGGTGGTGGAGGGGAGGGAGTGGGGGAAGGAGGGAGGGGCACCAGGAGGAGAGAACAGAGACTACAATTGGGATGTAAAGTGAACAATTAAATAAAAAAGTTAAAAGTTTAAAAAGTAAACATAAAACACCACAAAAATATTTCTCCTTTTTATTTTCTTTCTTTGTTTTGTGTTTTTTGTTTGTTGTTTGTTTATTTACTCAGGCTGGCCTTGAACTTGTGATCTCCCTGCCTCATCATCTCAAAAGTCAACACCATTGTGCCATGCTGGCCTGGTTTTCACTGGGGGTAGGAGAGTCAGGAGTGGTTCTGCAATTTTTATCCAAATGGTCACCCACACATCTTTCAAATCTGGTGTGTGTGTATACTGACGGTTTTCAGCACCAGTATGGACTGATATGGCTATGCCAGTGTATGGTTAGGAAGAAGGTTTTTATTGTAGATACGAGGGAGACAACAGCTGGAGGCATCTGGAAGAATCCAAGCTAGAGAGGGAACTGAACATGGCTAGCAGATGGAGCTTGGCCAAGAGAAGGGGGGCGGGGTGAAGAAAGAGCCTAACAAGAAAGAAGAGCAAGACCAGAGAGTACACAGCCCAAACAGCAGAGTTAAAGGCAGTGAGAAGCTGGGGGGGGGGGAGCCGGTGGGGAGAAGTTTGGGGTAGGGAGTGTGATACTGAGGAAGGCTGGAGGCCAGCATGCACTTTGCTGTGATAACAGACACCAGAGATAGCCCTTTGTCCCAAGTTTCTTTTGGACCAGAATACGTGTGACTCACGTTTTCCTTCCTCTCACAAGGACTGGAAATAATCAGCTTATAAAGAGACCAGGTTTTTTCTGGCACACAATTGTAAAGATCTCAGCGTTTGGCTTGTTGGCCCTGCTCGTGGCCGGCACACATAATGGAGAAAAAAAATGCTCCCCCTATAGCCAGGGACCTGGGGCAGTGGGGGCAGAGGTGTGGTTGGGGGTCTCCTGATTCCCTTCAGGGGCATAGCCTACAGACCTCTCACTAGGCCCCACCTCTTAGACAGTTTCTGTCCGTCCTACGAGCCCCTCCCTGCACAGTAGCTAAGACTCCACCACGTGAAAAGGAGAATGTTTACCACCCAGAGTGAGGCACCTGGGAACTCTAAAGCAAATGCCAAGAAACGGTCCCTTCCTTCCTTCCTTCCTTTCTTCCCTCCTTTCTCTCTCTCTCTCTCTCTCTCACTTGCTTTTTAAATAAAATATTTTATAGCTGTCACACTTTATCCATTCTTTTACTCACTGAACTTTGTAATGGCTTCTGACCAAAAGCACACACACACACACACACACACACACACACACACACACACACAAATCTGTCTGAATTTCTCGTTGCTCTGATGGGAACTCTCTGTCTCAATGTTTATAGTTTGTATTCCAGTAAATTAAACTTTGAAACCTCTTGTGCTGTTCATGGCGGGTGGGTAACAGACATGGGGAGAGGCAAGGCTAGCTCTCTGCTTTGGTCTTATTTGCTTTCAGCAGTAGCTTTAATTGGATATAGTCCACATAGCATAGCTTTTATTATTTTTTTTTGTCATGCATTTTTATCATGCTGAAGATCCAATCTAGGGCCTTCAACTGGCCAAATAAATATCCTGATTCAGAGCCACAGCCAGTCCCTAAGTCCATCCAGCACTGCAGGTTCAGTAGCGTCCTGGGTGGATTTTGTATTCATTCATGCATGCATTCATTTATTGTCAAATTGACACAAGCTACAGGTATCTGAGTAGAGGGAACACAGATGATAAAGTGCCTGCATAAGACTGGTTTGTAGGCAGGCCTGTAGAGCATTTTATTAATTAGTCATTGATGTGGGTGGGTCCAGCCCACCAGGAGTGGTGCCACCTCTGAATAAGAAAGCAGGCTGAGCAAGCCATGAAGAGCAAGCCGGTTCCAGTGGCCTCTGACTCAGTTCCTGCCTTGAGTTCCTACCCTGACTTCCCTCCGCCATGGAGTGTGACCTGACTGAGCGTTGTGAGCTGAAACCAACCCCTTCCTCCCCAGGCTGTCGTTGATCATGGTGTTTTAGCAGCGTAATAGGAACTCTAACTAAGACAAGTGGGTTAAGACAGGAGAAAACATCCATCGCCTGCAACTAGTACTGGGATGTGTTCTTTCCTTTCTTTTTGTTGTTGTTCAAGAAGAGGTTTCTCTGTGTAGCTCTGGCTGTCTTGAGCTCTGTAGACCAGGCTGGCCTCCAACTCGGAGATCCACCTGCCTCTGCTTCCTAAGTGCTGGGAATCAAGGTGAGTGCCACCACTGCCCAGCACGTTAGAATGTTTCCCCTCTCACTTTGTCAGGAATGATAACTTCCCTGTTCCCCCGGAAGCAATTTAGCCGGCAGGTAGGAAACTTGCCGGGACTGCACGCTGTGGAGGACCGCAGGTGTGCCAGAGGGTGTGTGGGAGAGTGGAGAGCTGCCCTACCAGGAAGTTCCGGGCTTGGACAGAGGCTTGACACACACCATCCAGGAGTTCCACAGAGGTGGGGATGAGCTGAATATGGTCACTAGAGAGAAACCGGCCCTCGATTTAAACGGAGACAGCTTGGGCCATGATGAGCAGCGAAGGAGGCTGGAGACCAAGGGTGAAAAGTGAAAAGTAGGAACCCTACCCTTAAATGTGTTCAGGGTGACGAGCTTGAAGCCTACACTTCTAGACCCTTGCAGCGGTGTACCTGGTCATGTGGTCAGCGTGCTGGCTGAAGCATGGGAAGACCATTGGCTTAGGAGGACAGCAGGGTAACGACAGAGGACTGGGCAGGCTGGCCAGCAGAGCAGGTTAGCCCCAAGCGTGCAAGCAACTGTGATTGGCCCATTGTTTCTGTCGCCCACCTCCCTGTGCTGGCCTTTGCTTGGTGTCCGTGCCTCCTGGGCTTGAGGCCCGCAAGCCTCACGCTGTGCGCTTAAAGACAAACTTCAGGTTTTGGGGTTTACATCCACACTTCATTTTTTAAATCTCATTTGTAGTTCTGAGGATGAACCCCAGGGCCTCGCCCGTGCGAGGCAAGCACCCCACCCCCAAGCTTTACCCCCCCCCTCTCCGGACCTTGGTTTTGCTTTTAACTTTTTTTTCACTGACCAGATCGTTTATAAAATAATGACAACAAAATTGCTAAAAAGGTGAGAGGGAGGCTGCAGCGCCGGGCCAGCTCGGGCTTTGGGGTTTAGATTCCTCAGGCTGCAGACTTTTAAACCGCCCGTATCCTGTTCAGAGTCGGCAGGCTTGGCCGGAATAGGTGAAACCTTAGCTCTGCAAGCTTGAGCCAGCCGGGCAGCTCGGGGGCGGGGCTGAGGGTGGGCGGGGATAGCAGGGGGCGGGGCTCACGGGCAGTCGGGGTCCCCGCAGCTCAGCGCCAGGCGGACGGGCTCGAGAGGAAGTGGGGAGTGGAGGGACCGCACAGCTGCCGCCGCTGGAGCGCGAGCCTGACCGTAAGCTACGGGGACGGCGGCGGCACCCCAGCGCGAGGGCGGCCGGGGCTGCGTGCAGCTCCCTCGGCCGAACGCGCGTCCCCCCATCCCGAGGCTGACCCGGGGGTGCAGGCGGCAGTGCCTCCCTGTCCTGCACCGACGCTTCATGCACCCCTCTCCCGGGCGCAGGGGGTGGGTGCTAGGCCTGACCGCGCCGCTCGCCAGCCCCTGGCTCCCTCCCCTCAGGGGTAGGTTTGTCCCTTAGGCTTCCGGCTCGCCCCGGCACCTGCCCATCCCGGGAGCGGAGGGCGCTGTCCACGCAGGGAGTCTTAATTTTAACTCCTCTAGGCGGGACCTCCCGCTCCTCGAACTTCAGGCAGCGGGAAGCCGGGTTGGGGGATCCGGCGAGAGGTGGGGGGGGGGGGGGGGGGGGGGGGGGAGCGTCCAGTGCATGCGCGCAGGTCATCGCCGTTGCTAGCGACTGCAGACCTGAGACATTTGCTCCTCTGCCTCCGGATTCGGAGTGATCGTTTTTTTTTAAAGCCCCGGAGCCCCAGAGGCGCACTTTGTTTTTTAGGGTGCTAGTGGCTTCCTTCCTCAAGCGGAGCCTTTCACTGGCTGTGCCTGGCCTGACGTAACAGAGGACTAGGAGGTGGGAAAAGAGCAAAAACATGGGCGCGTTCCATTCCCAGTTTCCATTCCCAAATACCCACACCAGGAGGGCCACGTGACGGCTTCCTGTGTCCCTCGAGAAGTGCCTCCAATGGGCCTGTACTGTTCAGACACTGCCCTGCACCCTGGGGATGGCAGGCCGCGTGCTTTCATGGGATCTGCGCCGCTTTTTGGGACAGACAACAAACAAGAGTCAAGTTCCCGGGTCGGATCCCCCAGCGCCACAAAACAAATGAGTGCATATTTGTAAAATACAAATTATGTCAGTGCGCTGTGGGAAATAGAAAGCATTAAAAAGCTGAAGGGAATGCGGAGTAAAAAGGGAAGGCTTCACAGAGTCAGGAGTGAGCGTCACTCAGGCGGAGCTGAGCTGAACATGCAAAGGTCCCGAGGCAGTAGAGTGGCTGGTGTGGATGGCTTTTGTGTCGTCGTTTGCCGCCTGAGAGGAGTGACCAGTGTCCATGAGAGGGCCCCAAGCTTCTAAGAAAAAGAAAAAAAAATATTTCCTCTAGACTCTTAAGTGCTCAGCAAGTCAGCCGTGTGAACTTCAGCACCATTTTCCGCCTTTTGGCTGTGGCTGTCCCAGACGTACTGAGTGGGAGGTGCAGGGAGAGCAGAGGGAGGGATTTTGGTGAAAGGGTGAGCGCCTCCAGCAGACCCCTGGGGCCCTGTTTCTGCCTCCTGCCCAACTAGTACACATGTGGTACCCACAAAACGGCCTGTCACTACAGCGACATTCCTCCTCCCATCCACAGTGGCCCGGGCATGCCCAGACATGGTCCCTACCAATCTGGTGCCTCTGCTCTTTCCTCCGCCCCCCTAGTATTCTGGCCTAAACTCAAATATTTAAAGGGCACAGGCTTCCCAAATTCTATTTCCTATTTCTTGTTCTGAGACCAGAAAGCATGGGAACACAGCCTGGTTGGAGGGGACAGCAGAGGTCAAGGATAACATCAGAGGCAGAAGGGCAAATACTCAGTCCCAGGGACCTTCTGGCTGCCCTGCAGGTGGTCTTCAGGCCAGGCTCCTGGCATGTCGGAGTCTCCAGGGGGCTGTGTTGATAAGACAGGGGGAAAAGGCTCTGCTAAGAACCTTCTCCCTGCGTGGTGGTGCCCAGGGGATGGGGGAGGCTGTGTCCCTAGCCTCAGTTACAGAATCAATTGCACAAACTGGATCAAAGGATCGGCTTGCCACACCACCAGGATTTGTTGACTTTATTGAGGAAAATCACAGTTCACGCCTCTCCCCAGAGAGCAACTGTTTTCCCTCTCGGACTGGCTGGCCTGTGCCTTCCCCACCATGTGCCTTCCCACAGGCCTGGAGTAGCGTCTTGGCTCCCTGCTCATGCCTGCCTTCCCTTTGCTGCCCGTCCGTGGTCCTCACGTATCTATGGACCCAAGCCACCGAAAGTCCACACCCTGTGCCCTCTTCCCACACCTGAGGAGCTCGCTTTAGGCAGAAAAGGGTTGTTTCGGCTGTTCATTAAAAAGTCTTTACAGAAAAGTCTCTAGTTGACCAACCGAAAGCTTCGTTTCTGAGTAAGAAGCAGGAGTCTTTGCTGCCCTGAGCATTCAGGAGGCTGGTGAGCAGAGACAACACAATATGGATGAGGCTCTAGCATGTCCTGGTTAGAAAGTCTTGAGCAAACCTCCTTTCTGAACTTTAAGTGCTCTTTAAAATGGAGGGAAATGCCCTTTACTTCTTAGGGATGTAGTATTACAGGAGGTGATAATGCAAGAGCCAGGCTGTCAGCAGCAGTGAGGACACAGCTCAGCGCTGTGGCTGTGCAGCCCGGGGCTCTCCCTGTAAGACCACAGGGAGGTGCAGGCAGGATCTTGGCCTTCAGTGCAGAAAAGAATCTCAGGGTGAGTCTGTCTGAAGCAGGCGTTAGCTTTCCCCATTGCAGCTCTTCTGCTTCCCCAGACCCACTGCCTAACTAGCTTGTCCGTCTGAGAAAACAGAATCATCCAGATAATGGAAGCCCCCAGCCCCAGTGGGGGAAGGTGACTGCCAGCTTCCCACTGAGCACCCCAGGTGGGGGACTTCCAGCCCCTGTCAGGATCCTGTCCTCAAGGAGGAGATGATGGTGGGGAGGTGATCCAGGGATTTTTCTTTTCTTTCCAGGTCTGAGGATTGAATCCAGGGCCTCAAAAAAGCTAGGCCAGTGCTCTATGATTGAGCCACTCTTGGCTCCCTCCCCACACACCTGAACTCCTTACTTGTGGCTCTTGGAGACTTGATTCTCTCTTTTTTTTTTGCAGCCTCGACACCACTACAGGCAAATTCAGCACTCTCCCAGCCTAAAATGAAACAACCCAACAGCGCTGGGAGGCCGGCCAGGCCTCAGGGGGCTATACAGGAAGGTTATCCCCCCCCCCCACACACACACCCAAGCAGTAAGGAAGGTGGATTGGCTCACTCAAAAGGCCCCAGGCTCCGGGCAGTCCTGGTACATGCTAGTGAGGAGACTTCCAGACCACGAGGTTGCAATCACTGAGGAAAAGCTGGGAGCAGTGAGGACAGCACACAGAGTGGTTCGTGGAGGGGAGAAAGATGACGGTGTGCTGGACAGTTCGTTCCTGCTACCCCAACAGGGACCACTGTCATCCCCAGCAGGCATGGGCGAAACTTCCTCCTTAAAGGAGGTGAGGTGTGCTCCTAGACATTCTAAGCAGTGGAAAACTTGACAACTGCTATTTTGCCGGGCAGAGCTGGCACGCTTTAGCACACTGACCTGGCAATGTGGCATCTCCTGCATTTCCCTCATTATAGGACGTAGAACCTGTGTGGCAGCATTGGGGGATATGAGGGACAACAGAACTGGGCCACAGCTGAGTGTTCGAGTGTGTGCCTACGTGAGTGAGGGCCTGGGATTCGTCCTTGGCACTGAAAAATAATATTTTTTATGGAGTGTGTTTGAAGGCCCATTAAATGGAGTCAAGAGACCATTGTTAATGAGATCTCAGAAACACCTGCAATAAAACCTTTGCCTGAGACTAAGTGAAATAATAATTCCTAACTAATTAATGAGGTAGTTTTTCCAGCCTCCTTCCATTTAAAACTTATAAACATGGGGTTGAATCAATACATTTGTGTGGCTTTTCCACACTGGAGAAGCCACTCCCTCTCTAGAGGCATTCAGGACCTGCCTACCCACCCACATGCTCCCCGCCCTCCCTAGCCAGCTTCTCTGTGGCTGAGGCCTGGAGAAGGCAGCCCCTGCCCTTAGGAGGCACAGAGGCAGCCCTGAAGGGCTGGCCTCCAGCTGTGCTGGCCCTGGCCCCTGTCGTGCCTCAGCAGGGAGCACCTCCACACCATGAATGTCAGCAGGGAGCACCTCCACACCATGAATGTTCTGGCCATCTCTGCTGACCCGTGGCTCCCTGATAGGGCTCTCCTCAAGCTGTTCCATCCTTTCTCTCTTCTGCGTTGACTTCAAAGGCACTCGAATCTTCTCTTGCAGGCTTGCTCTGGCCTGTTCTCCTGAGCTCAGCTCCAAGGCTGTGCTCTGAGAGAATCAAGACATTAGGCCCAGTACAGAGCACGCACCATAGCTGAGCCATCACAGGGACAGTGACACTGAGGGAGGAGAGACTGGCTGTTACCCATCTGGATGGTCTGAGGAAGTCTCTACTTACCACTGACCTGAAACCTGGAATGGTGAGCAGGCTGCACTATCAGAAGGCCTGGGAATTGTCAGCAAAGACAATTTGTGTAGCACAAAGACTTCTTTGTGTAGCAGGGTGACAGAAATGGAGGAGTTTACCAAATGCTTCCCTTTCCCTGCTGAGAGTTTCCCTGTCTCCCCAGGAAGGGAGATGGGATTGCAGGGCCAGTCAGATCTAGGGACAAGAAAGAGGAAGCCACACTTCACTGTCCCTCTGGCTGACATCTGAGGGCAGCAGGTGCAAGGTTTTCCCATATCTCCTCAGCCCCACAATTCCCAGGGCAAAGTGTGGAACCCCAGGTGGAGCTGCCAGGAGCCCAGGTAACTGCCCAGAGATCTCACGCAGCCTCTCTGAAGGAGCGCTCTGCTCCTCATGTCCAGTTGTTCACATCCAGTCTTCTGCCAGCACTGGCAGGGCTCTGTGGGCCTCCTTGGTTAGCCTTTGTTCTGGAAAACCCCCGAGTATCCAGGCCTGTAATTTACCACAAAGACCAGATGTGCTGAGTCACTGTTAGCTGGCATCGAGGATGATTTCAGGGGCACACCTGACTGAGCGCTTGCTTGCTGGGGCTTTCCTCCAAGGGCAGTTGGCTGACCCAAACCACCAGGCTTGCAGTGAGTGCCCTCTGACCCCACACTACACTTTAGTCTTCCTTCACACTTTCAATAATTCTCGATCCTTCAACCCTCCAGAATAGAATGAGAAACAAGCTGATGCTGCATAAGGAGAACTTAAAATCTTTTTTCATTCAAACCTTCTAATGTCTACATTATTACCCAGAGAACTTAAAATTTCATCTAGTATTAAGTAATTCAGTCAGTATTAAGTAATTGTTCAGTAAGTGCCAGGGTCTGGGAATTCAGAAGAGAGGGATGGAAGACGCTGCTTACAGTGAGAGAGGCACACGCCCCGGCATGAGGGCTAAACCCAAACAGAAGCAAAGGCTGTGGAAGTAAACAGCCCCTGAGGGAACAGGAGAGGAGAGGATGCTGGCACAAGAACTAAACAAGGGTGGTTAGGGTGTGTGGCACAAGCTCATAGAGAGGGAGGTGGGTCATCAGACCACACAGGCTTTGAAGGTCCCTGTTATGAAGTATAGTGCAACGAGGGGATATCTTTGCCTGGCTGAACCAAAATGTACCCCCGAGATATTGCATTGTCAACAGATCTGGTGTAAAAGAGGTTTATTGGGGGAGGGGAAAGGAATGGTGACCTGGGGAAGGAATAGAAGCTACTAAGTGGACATGTGGACAGGCAGACGGATGGGGAGCAAAGCTGTGAGGGCAGAGAGAGGGGTCGAAGAAGGAGAGAAGGGGGCGTGCATGCAGGAAAGAGAAGAGGAATCCTGAGAACAGAGTGAGATCTGGGGTGGCTGCTGGGTCCTTCTGTGCATGCACGCACCCGGTGCGCCTGGCAGAGGTGGCAGGTGGGTAATGGCATGAGCAGCTACCGGGTCCCTGAGAGCGGGCCAGGGAATGGCTTGTACAGTAACAGCCCCATTAACCAGTTTTGCCTTGTCTTGGAGCCATGACAAGTTCCTCAAGGTGTTAACTCTCAACCCCTCCCTCGTCCCTTGTGTGTGTGTGTGTGTGTGTGTGTGTGTGTGTGTGTGTGTGTCTGAGAGAGAGAGAGAGTCAAATTTTCATGAGAGACGCATGGTAGGCAGAGATCAGTGTGGGAAGGGGCTGTCAGGGTTCTTACAGCAGTCCGGGGAGAGCCTGCAGGTGCCTGGGCTGGGTGTGATGGCAGAGAGAGACTTGATAGTTAGAGCTTTGGAAGAAAACCTGTGGAGCTTACAGATCTGTCGGTGGGAGACGGAAGGATTGGCGGGAAGTCTGTTTTGGAAACCCGACAGTGGCACGTGAGTGGGAACCCCAGAAGAAGACAAAGCTTGGGGGGCAGGACCCCAGTACAGTGCCACAAGCGTTGGAGATGGGGAGACATCTGAGAATGCAAGCTGGTGGCGATGTAAAGGATAAGACTCACGGGAAGTCCAGACTGGGCACACACGTCTCCACCATCTACAGCGGCAGCAGAGCAGTGGGCTTACACGCATGTAAACGACGGCCCTCTCTGACGCTGGCTCCCCAGTGGCCTCCTCCCCTGCTTCTTACCCCACCCCTGTCCTGCCACCTTTGTCCACCTGGGCTTACATTTTCACTGGGCTGCTGGCGCTCACGTTGATCTTTGCCTCGTGAACTTCACAAACAGGAGGAAGCCACACTGCAGCTGTCACACAGGCTTAGTCATGTCATATGAGGCTCTGGTGCTGCAAAGGCACCTGATTCCTGACACGGCTGAAGTAGATTCACACATAAAGCTCTTTCCACGGTTTAATAAAACAGAAAATTAAAATTTACGTTTGAGTAGATGACGCGGGCATTTGTTTTAAATGCTATTTGAATGGTCCAAAAGCTGATAAGCACAGTGTTTTACCTGTGGCACTGTGGGACACAGCCTAGGCTGGGCGAGCACCCTGCCACCAAGCTGAGGTTCATACCAGCACCTACCCTGAGAATATATATATATGTGCATAACCTCAATTCTTCTTATGAGGACTTAGTTGCTCACCAAATTTCCAGTAAATGACCACTGCCCTCCAGTTACTATGGGGTTTTTGGTTGGTTGGTTGGTTGGTTGGTTTTTACTTTATGCATCTGGGAGTTTTACCTGCGTGTATGTCTGTGTACCTCATATGTACAGATGCCAGGTGCCCTGGAACTGGAGTTGTAGATAGGTGTGAGTTCTAGGAATGGAATCCCACCCTCTGAAAGGATAGCTGATGCTCTGCTGAGCCATCTTCCCAGCCACAGATACAATGCGCTAACATATATACCAGCTGTATTGTTGTTGTTTTGTTGGTGGCGTGTTTGTTTTGTTTATTTGTTTGTTTAGCACATTTTCTTTGCTGTGCAGCCAAACGTTTCTTTGGGGAGAACACCAAAACTCCAAGAAGAAAAAAAAACATGGTTGTTTTTAGCTCTTGCAGCCCTAGGATCAAACATGTTCCCTCACGCATGCCAGGAACGTCTGCCTGCACAGAGCCACACCCACAGCCCTGCTTTCTTTTGGAATGGCTTCCTCTCCAAGGCCAGTTCTCTAGGCACAGTGCTTTTCTCGCTGAAAAAACAGGATTACAAAACAAATGAAAAGATTACTGGGAGAATAAAACCTTTGAGGCAAAATCAGTTAACCTCCTGTTTCAGGCACCAGCATGATTAAGGAATTTGGGACCTGCTTTTTGTTTTTGTGTCCAAGCCTTTCCTGATATCCCCTAACCCTGGGGGATATTTTGAGGAGGTTAGAATGTTCTCTACCTCCACAGAAAGGGACCGCACATCATCATGAGCATTCACCACAAGATAGAGGCTCAGCAGACAGCAGTGGAGGCCTGATGATGTAGCAGACGCCAGGGCAGGCACCCCGAGAACAGGGACAGTCGCAGGCAACACGGGCTGGGCTGGGCTTGATTCTGCATCACGGCTCTGGCGAGGGCACACGGGCCGAACAGTGAGCACCCAGGACACAGCTTCGTCCACTGTGCACTCTCTTAGCCCCAGTCTGTGCACACAGCTGCCATAGAGGGTCCCACACGGTAAATTTGGGGAAAGGAAAGGGCACCCACTATGGTGGGGTGCCTGGCTCAGAACCGTTCAGCCTCATAGGCTGAGGATCCCCACACTCTGGACAACAAAGGCTCAGGGGGTTCCAGAGCTTATCTGGAGCTCTGCATCTGCTGTGGTCGAGCTGCAAATGGAACCAGCAAAGGAAACATACTAGAACCCCTTATTGTGCCCCCGAGATTCTCTTGTCTCTAAAGCCCAATGTGTCAGAGCTGCTATTTGGAAACCCAGGACAGCCAGGCAGCCTCCTCACCATGTCACCAAGCGTGCAAGCATGCCGCCATGCTACCCAGACCACAGGCACTGCATGGCACCTGACTTTTAGTGACACTGGCATGTCACATCTTCCAGGGGACTCATGGTTAAGTCTTCCCTCTCAACCAGCTCTTCCAGGACCCGGGCCATCTGGGACTGCCCTCTCCTTAAAGGTCCATGAAAAAGTCAAAACCCAGGTGAAGTATCAAATCGGATGTGCCTATGGCCACCTGAGCTTATGGTGGCACCTCCTGAGGTGGCCTTCACTGCCACCAATTACAGCAGCGTTCCCACCTTCCCTAGACTACATACAGATCTTTACTCTTCATCCAGCGGTCTCCAACATCCACCGAAGTAATAAAACCCCCTTTTCTGCAGTCTCCAAATGAAGCAGGGGCCAAGTCTGTCCTGTGCTGGATCTCAAATGCTCAGTCTCAGAGGAGGGGTGTATGGGCAAAGTTGTACCCACAATCAGTGGGCACCAGCTCTGATTGGCCAGGCTCCAGACTGCACTTGAAAGGTATTATTTATTATCCTTTCAGCTGGAGGGGAAAATGACTCACAGTCTAGGAGACCCCTTGGTGGCCGCAGTACCCAAGCTCGTGGTTCTCCGTACTCAAGGCCCCAGGGCTGGCGTGAAAGCTGCAGACTGTAAACACACACTAGGGTAGCGAGCTAGGGAGGGAAACGCAACAGTCACAGTGACAGAAATGCATTCTTTGGCCATAAGTTGTAATCCTCACGAGCATGGAGCTAGGAACTTCCCCTCCCTGATTCTTACCTTAAACAAGTGTTGGGGGTCTTTTGTTTTTGTTTGTTTGTTTGTTTGTTCAAAAGGGTCCATGAATACTGGATTTGCCTGTACTGTTGATTAGCAAACACAGCAAACCCAACTTGAAGAAGGTCAATGTCAGTAGCTAATTTGAGGCTAATCAGAAATAACGGTTCTGTGTTCCTTTACAACCTGCTGTTAAGGAATGAGTGGTGGATGGTCGGGGGGTGAACTGAAACATTGCAGCCAGTCCTGCTGCGTAGTCTGAGGCACGTGAGCAAAGTATAATACTGCTTTATAGAGTGGGTAAGACTAATAGTCTTCTAACCTGGCTTAGAAAGTCAGAGACGGAGCCCTTAAATTGTTCTTCAGATCCGTCGCTTTGCGCCCCCACCACCCCTCACTCTGTCCTTGAGCTTTTTTGGAAGACAATACTTTCCAAGACACCCCGCCACACGGACCCCTCCACACGAAGACAGTTCTGAAACCTGTAATGTCTCGCTGCGTTCCTCTACATCCCTGCTGATGAGAAGGCAGAGCTTGAACTGGCCCGTGAGAGGCCGGCAGTGACTGAATTCAGTTGCGCTTTGACAGCACTGTACTGCGGAACATTCCAGCATCACAGCCGAGTTTGGGGGCCGTTGCTAAGTGAAATAGAGTTACCTGAACGCAAGCTCATCTCTGTGATGCCTGAGGGTGCTTCCGTACATGGAGTGGACAGAATGTGTGCATCCTATGTGGATGGGATGGAACAGGGCAATGGGAGATGTCACTGCCTACAATCACAGTGTTTGGGGTTTGTTGTTTGCTTGGGATCTTTTGGGGAGGGAGCGTGGAGAGGTAAAAACAACTTTCCGGAGTCAGTTCTCTCCATCCACCAGGTGGTTCCCCACGGCCAGGCTTGGGTCATCGGCAAGTGCTTTTATGCGCTGGGCCATCCTGCCAGCCCAGCACAGTTTTAAACTAAGAGATATTTCTAAAATTTCCATTTACACTTTCACCCATGGGTAAGCAAAACCCCGCACAAGGGGTGCCGACCGGGGGCAAGGCAGACATGAGTCATCCTAATGCCCTTATGCCTGGGTTCTGTTTCTTCAGATGGAGCTCCGGCACTGGACCTCTAGGTCACTGTAGTTCAGTTTGCTGACTGAAGTCCAGGGTGATCGCTGCCCTGTACACACAACGGGCGAGCTGAGTCATTGGGCTGGAAAAGTGTAAAAAAGGCAGGGTTAGTAGGGACTGACACTGAGCTACCCTCACTTGTGTGCTTTGACCAGGGAGGAGTCAAGGTGTCTGCGTTGAGCCCTGGTGAACAGCAGAGCATGCTGGGATAATTCTGCCCAGAAAAGGAAAAGCAGGCACTTCTCTCCCCAGGGAAAACACCAGCGGTGCTTTGGACCTCTTACTGCTTCGGTCAGGTGAGGGGACAAGTTCCCTGGGCAGGTTGGTCAGCTTTCCTGCTGCCTCCACTTGCTGCTCTCCTGGAAATGTTATGCAAATTGGTCTTTTCTCAGTGCTTCTGCGGCCACAGGTGACAGTATTCCATCTTCTCAAATCAGAGGACTTCATGCTGGGGACAGAGAATCCCTGGAAATGGGGACGGGGAGGAAGACTGTGCAGAGTCCCTCTCTGAATTCAGAAGGACTCCTCTTCAGCCATCGCTCGCTTGTTTAAATTCAAGCTGGTCTCCCACCTGGCTGATGAGGACAAGGGCTGAGGGAGCCTCAGGTTGAGAGACAAACACCTTGGTTTTCGGGGCTGGGGATGGAATGATGGAATGCACACCAACACACACACACACAGATACACACAAACAAATACACAGAGATACACAAACACAGCCATGCACACGCACACACCAGCATCCTCTCACTAGGATGACGAAGCTTGCTCTCTGGCACCCAGACTCCCAGGAAACATTCTCACAGAGACTTTGAGCCACACAGACCTTTACAGGCCAAGGAGTGAGCTGGGTGGGAAGTTGAGGTCTGTATTCACAGGGCATGGCTTTCATGGATGGCTGTACTGGGATCTTGATGTCCCAGTGCCTGTGGCTGATGGCATCGAGGTATCTGATGTGATCAGATACTCTGGTCAGAGTGAGGTTGGCCATGGAGGAAGCTACATGTGTGTGGCACAAGTTCCTGGTGATGGATGGGTATTGAAGGAAGAAACAGAGGTGGCTCCAGGACTTAAGGTAGGACGGGGGCGATCAGGAGGGTGTCTGCCAGGCAGAAGCAGTTTCCACTTGACATTCCTTCCACACCAGGAAGCAGGTACCCCTGTGTCAGCTACATCCTGGAAGACCCCTGGCTAACCCCGTGTGGCCTGGTATCTCTGGAAATGGCACACAGTGGCCCAGTTCTTAAAGGGATGGCTTTCATCAGGAATAAACCCGAGGCCTGTACACACACCAACTGAGACCTTGGCCACCTGATATTAGCGGATGGAGCGTGCACATGTGTTTTTCAAAAGGGGTCTTTCCTGTCTTGGGCTTCCACTTTCTGCTCTGTCATCCAGAATGGTCCTGATGATAGTGTGTCCAGTGAAACCTCCTCTTCCCTTGCCCCAGGGATAGGCTCAGGTTCATGCCAAGCTGGGCACTGTCCTGGAAGATGGCAGCTGAGGAGCCTGCGCTGCAGTGCTGGGCTGGGATCTCTCTGGTATTGGTTTGCAGACAGCAAGTTCATCTTTCTTCCTCCTGAGAGAAGAGACAAAGGCTCGTGGATGTTAAAGTGCAGCTTGGATTTTCTGAAACATAATAGTGCATGCCCACAGAAACTGGAGATGTGGTTACCGAGGGCCCAGGGTGGGTTGGGGACTAGAGAGGGACAGGTTCAGGGTGTAAGGTTTCTCTTTGTTGGGATGACAATATCCTAACATTGGCTCTGTGGATGGTTGGCCGTGTCCATGAGTACACTGCAAACAATTGGACTTTACACTTGAAATACGCCCACTGTAGGGGGTGTGACCTACTTTAACGAAACTATTGAAAATGCACAGAGATGGCATGCGTAGCCAAAGGTGGGCTTCCTACCATTGTCCCCCTTCAGCTGGACTCGGTGTCCCAGAACCTCTAACCTCCCACTTTCCTTTTAACTCATGAAGAACCCTCCCCTTCCAGGACCACACAGGGGACAGTAATCCCTCTTTTCATGCATGGGGTGTAGGGAGAGACGTTTGAGCAACCTCAGGAGCAGAAGGCTCCTCAGAAGCCCCAGGCCTCTGAATGCAGCCTCTGCAGCCCACACCCAGCCCCGTGCTAGAGCCTCCATATTCACTCCTCAGGGTTGTGGGCAGTTCTCATGACTTAGTGGAGTTACGAGTAAGTTTGTCTCTCTAATGTTTTACAGGTTTTTATATTGTATACTTACCATTGTTGGCCTAAATAAGAAAATTATTGGCCAGACATGATGAGCCTGAGCCATACCTATAATCCTGGGTAGGAGGAAGCCTGAAGCAAGCAAGAGGATGGCTGGGGTTCATGGCCAGCCTGGATAGCTTGGCCAAACTCCGTCTCAAACATCACTAAGACAAAACAAGAGCTAGTGCTTCTCCAAATACTACTATTAATTTAGGAATAGCAGAATACACAGATAAGGGCTGGAGGGATGGCTCAGCCCTTAAAGACCAAGCTCACAACAAAATAGATAAGAGAGTACAAAGATCAGAGTAAATTATACCCACATTAGAAAAGGTTGAAACAAAGTGTTGTTTTATTTTTTTTTTAAGACAAAAATAAGGAGAGTAAGGAGTGAATAAGGAGTGTAACTCAGTCATGACAGAGCCCTTGCTTGTTATACTTGAGACCAGGGACTATGTCCCAGTGACCAAATTAATAATAATAATATCAACAACAGAGATAAGATTAAAGCAAAGATGCACACCATCAGTTACTTTGAAGCAGTAACCTTGGCCACTGTGACTAATAACCGAAGTGGTGTCTGAATGAGGTGGAAGACACTGGCCACATTGTTGTCATTGTGGAAGTACTTCTGTGTGGGGTTGAGACAGCCACTGTCAGTCATATAGAAGAATCGTTTCTTCATAAGCCTTTCTTGTGGGACTGACACAAGAAATACCATTTTTATCCTGACAACATTCTTTTCTTTTTCCTCTCAAGACAAACATGAATAAGGCCAGAAGAAGGTCATACGTTAGTAATTTGCTAGTCATTGTGACAAAATGCGTGGTAAGAAGCAACTTGAGGGAAGAATTTGTTTGGGCTGTGCTTGATGACAGAGCCCATCTATGGCAGGGCAGGCATGGTAGCAGGAGCTGAGGGGACCGGCTACATTGTATCCACAGCCAGAGAGCAGAGATGAATGCTGGCCTCAGCTCCCTTTCTTCTTTCATTCAGCCTGGGGCTTTCCCACTTGGAAAGGCACCAACCAAATTCAAAGTGTGTCTTCCCATGTCTGTTCAGCTTTTCTGGAAGCACAGGCATGTCCCGAGGCCAGTTCCCTAGGGGGTTCTAAATCCATGAGGTTGACATGAGATCAACCATCACCTACGGAAATGAATTGGGGAGGAGCCTTTGTGATAACTGCCGTCTCTGCAGAGCCAGTTGACAGGTTCTGGCCAGGTTGTCCCTCTTGCTGATGTGTGCTCTTCCTCTCCCAGGAGTCATGTGGCTGGAACTTCTGCTGGCCTCAGTGCTGGGCCTTGTCATCTACTGGTTTGTCTCCCGGGACAAGGAGGAGACGCTGCCACTTGAAGATGGGTGGTGGGGCCCAGGGTCAAAGCCCTCAGCCAGAGAAGATGAGAGCATCCGGCCTTTCAAGGTGGAAACATCAGATGAGGAGATCAAGGTGAGATACCCTTTCCTAGCCAGGGTACAAACCAAAGGGGCATGCCTGCTCTCGTTTCCCTTGGACCAAAATGGAGGCAGGGCTGAGTATAGAGCTTTGGAGATGGACCATCTTGAGGTTTCATCTGCCCACTCTTCTCCCTGAGGACATGTGTGTTTTGCCCCTCAGATACAATTTTTGCTTACTAACCCCATCTGTCTCGTGACATTTTCATCCCCCCACAAAGCTCAGGAGGGCTTCTAGTAAAACCACCGCGTGCATCATAGACCAAAAGAAGCCTCCATTCCCCTCCCCTTCTTCCCACTTGAGGCTGGTACAGAGGGAGAACATGAGCAGATGTCCCTGGGCTGGTGTGGAGGTCACACCTACAGAGGGAGGTGGTTCTCCAGATGTGAGTACCGTGGAGACCACAGGGTCAGCCTTGGGTAAGCCCCTACTGTGCGTTGACCACTCCGGGGCCCATATTTCTGTGCCAACCCTGCCCATTGTCACCTGTTGCGCCAGCTCTCAAAGGTGGGCCCTGGAGCTGAGAATGGCACAGCAGTGGGTCCCAGGTGATGGGGAGAACAAACAGAAGAAGGGGACGTCTCTGGGCACTGGGCTTTCCACACAGAGCTGGAGTCAGAAAAGAGGGGCCAGTGGGTAGGGAAGGGGAGAAGGAAGTCTCCTTGGGGAGCCAGACTCAAGCAGGGTCACAGAGACCAGACCTTACACCACGGCCCCTCTTTTTCTTCACCCTGTGATCCTTGAGCAGCTACTGTGTACAGATGCTCTTCGGAGTACTTAGAGAATGCAGAGACCCTCGCCTCACACAATTCAGCATTTAGCCTCCACATGCGAAAAGCGAGTGAGCCACGTATCCGTAGAGATTAATGTCATTCAGGCAGTAACAAAAGGTCATCAAAGTTCCCAGGAGGAAGGGATTGAGAGTAAGATCTGGCCTGAAGCCAAGAGCCAGCAGCTGAAGTTCAGTGTATGGGGCACGCTGGGCCCTCGAAGCTGAGGGTGGGAGCTGAGCTCTGAGGATCACTTCTGGGTGGAGTCCAGACTTGGAAGGAGTGTAAGGTTTCCAAGCCTGTTTGGGGGAGGCCAGGGGACATAGAAATCTCTGGGAATAATGACACCCGAGCCACTCCATGAGGCCACAGGCACGTCCCTCAGCTGGAACGCTGGCTGAACTCGTATCTGGGTGGATTGCACTTGGACCCTGGGCCTTGGGCAGTCCAATTTTATCTGAGTTGGGATCATTGGGTGCTGTACAGCAACGGCTGGCACACCACGGCTCAACGCCAAGTGTAGCCTACCACTTGTTTTATAAGTGCCTGCTGAATAACTTCCATGTCTTTATAGGAGTGTAGGGGGGAAAAAAAACAAGAACAAAATAATAACTGGAGTCCTTCGATGACTGTTGGGCATTTGAGTTTCAGTACTGTGTGTAAGTTTGACTGTAGCGCGGCCTCACTGCTCAGGAAGGGGTCATCTGGGGCAACTCTTTTGCTGCGTGGAGAAAGTGGAGGTCTTGCATCTTGCCTAAAATCTTGCTATGTTACTCTTTACAAAGTTGGCCAGTTCCAGAACTAGAGATGGCTTGGTGAGTTAAAACTGAGTAGTGTTCTCACACCTAAGAGATGAAAGATCAGTGCTGGGTGGAGCTAAAGGGGGGCATCCATCAGGTGTGGCATATGCAAAGCCTTCCAGTCTCTCTCTCCCTGCACCTCTCATTCCACCAAAACAAAGACAGATGAAAGGAGAGAAGCCACAGGAGAAAAGCTCCCAGGGAGCCAGTGACACACATGGGGACTCTGTGTCCCCCTCCACGGTGTCCATCTATGGCTGCAGCCTTTGCTCTGAGCTGTGGGCACAGCGCTCTCCTGCCTCCGCCACCCACCCCTGGCTTCTTCGCTGCAGGACTTACACCAGAGGATCGACAGGTTCCGGGCCTCCCCGCCTTTGGAGGGCAGCCGCTTCCACTACGGCTTCAACGCCAACTACCTGAAGAGAGTGGTGTCCTACTGGAGGAACGAGTTTGACTGGAGGAAGCAGGTGGAGATCCTCAACCAGTACCCTCACTTCAAGACCAAGATTGAAGGTGGGTTCCCAGGACAGCAGCCTGGCCCTGGGGGGAGGGGCAGTGAGTCACAGGAGCAGCCTTCCTGCAGGAGACAAGTGATGCCGAGTCAGCCATGCTGGAGCACCCAGTGGTAGGTCGAGGAGATGCTGTGGTTCACCATCTTGCCAGGATGTACAAATAATGCTGAGTCAACAGTCCATCACTCTATAGTGTTAGACGTGAGGGCAGAGCAATGGTGTTCCAACCAGGGACCTGCAGACGCCACTCAGCAATGCGGAGAGCTCCTTGAGCAGCGTCTGTCAGGGAGCCTGGGGTCTGGGCATGGCTTGCATCAGCTCAGCCCCGCTTGGAGTTTTGGGCTAGACAAGTTTATGCATTGCTCGGCAGTCGATTTTATGAGAAACTGTCCTGTCCAACCATAGCCTCAACCTCCTGTCCCAGCCCTCCTACGTGCTGGCCATCAAGAGACAAAGTTAATCCCAGGATCATCTTGTCTGAGTTAATAGTTTTTTTTCCTTAGTAGAAAACAAGGTTTGTTTAAACAGTAAAAAACAGAAACACACAGACTCAGAATTAAGCAGGGGATGTTTCATAAGATCAGATGATGCTGTTATCCACTTATTTTTAATGTGCATGTAGCATACAGTTTGCTGGCCTTGATCTTTAAGTGCACAGTTCAGTGGCTCAGCAGCAGTAGGTATGGTATTCCGTGGCAGTAAGGTGATTCCTTGTTAGGCTTCCAGCAGTTTTCCACCGCCCCCAAACTGAAAGTCGGCACCTGTCACACCCCAGCCTTCTGGCCACGCTCCAGCCCTCAGCAGCCCACCTGCCCACTCCTGAGTTCACCTGCTGAAATCACTCATTTGATGGGATCATGGAAGTGTTTGTCTTTTTTTTTTTTTTCTATTTGTGCCTGGCTTCTTCTTGTCCTCATGTCCTGAGTCGGCATGCGTTAGAATTTGGTTTCGTGGCAGTATGGAGTCCAGCATGCTAGACAAGAACTGCACTGTTGATCTCTGTACCCCACCCTCCTCTTGCTTTTCGAGACTAAATAACATCCCATTGCATCCATTCCTCCACCCAAGGACACCTGAGGCTGTTGTGAATAACACTGGTCACTCCTGCATGCCTCTAATCCCAGCGCTTTGGAGGCTCAGGCAGGAGGACTGAGCGTTCAAGGTCAAAACACAAAACAAAGCTTAAAGGCTCCTCAGTTCTTTGGGCTGCCCAGAAACAGCAGTGCCGAATTAGATGGAAACCCTATACTCGGTTTTTCGAGAAACTAGCATGGCCTTTTCATCAGCCATGGAAACACTTCACATTCCCTGCAGGATGCACAGGTGTTCCAGTTTCTCTCTGTCTTCCCCCGGGCTTGTTAATTCCTGGGATATGTGACAGTAGCCGCCCTGAAAGGGTGTGGGATGATGATTCTTATATGCGAATATATATTGTTTTCTTTGTTTTTCCACCACAATTCATGGTAGCAAGCATGTTTTCATTGAATATTGGTCACTTTTAGTTCTTTAGAAAAATGTGAGTTCAAATTCTTTGCCCATAGTTTTTGGATGCTGTTTCACCGTATGGTCCAGGCTGGTCTGAATTTTTGGACATAAGTCATCCTCCGGCCTCAACCTCTCAAGTGGCTGGGGCTATAGGTGGAGTTTGAAGTTACTTTGGAGTCAAGTTTCACTCTTCCTGAGTGCGGTTCTTTGGACCCTGGTGTCTCCCACCAAGACTTTACCAAGAGCATCCAAGTCACTTTACCAAAGCCATCTGTTCAGACTGAAGGACCAGCCTCAAAGCTTGTCATTTAAAGCCAAATGGCCCCGCTAACTGGGCTCAGACCTGGAGCTCTGTGCGGCCTTGGATTTTCCATCAGCTTCCTGGGCTCAGACCCGAGCTCTGCGCTGTGTCATTTTCTGGGACCACGCAGCATGTCAGCATGTGTGACAGCGAACATGTGTGACCATGTGAACAGTGTGCTTCTCCATCCCAGACATGGGAGTTGCCATGGCCGTGTGTCTCTTCACAGCAATAAAACCCAAACTGAGGCCCTGATAGTACTCCATGGCTGCCTATGGCATGCGCTCAATAAATTCTGTGGAAACCACTCTTGGTCCTTTTCCCAGGCTGGTGGCAGCCAGTCTAGGCACAACTCTCACACAGCCCCATCACCACAGAGGAGACAACCTACCTGCGGGGAACTGGGGAGGCTAAGCTTTTGTTTTGACAAGTTAGGGATGGTGTGTGTGTGCGTGTGTGTGTGTGTGTGTGTGTGTGTGTGTGTGTTGAGCACTGAACACAGGGCCTCGTGTGTAATAGACAAGTGATCTGCCAGTCTGTTAAATCACTAAATAAGTGACTACTTAATGCATTTTTCTTTTTACTTCCAAATTTTTTACTTCAAGAGGGTTCATCAGAATGTAAGTGACATGTGGCTGTTGCATTCACGAACAAGGTCAGGCCAGTCAATACTTCCAGCTTGACATTCCCCTAGATGAGAAGCTATTGGTGGCTGCTAGGGGTGGGAAAGTCCTTTTTCTTTGTGGTTGTAGCTGATGGTAGGTGAGCCGTGGCCACGCACATGCAGGCAGCACCAGCTGGACTTAATGGGTTAAAAAAAAAGAGAGAAAGTGAATACAAGAGGAGGGGGGGTACTATCAAGATACAGACAGACAGACATAATAGATATGTGTGTGTGTGTGTTTGTATCTTGATGGTATCACGTACAAATGCATTTATGTATGTGTATATATGAAATTATTGAAGAATAAATAAAAATACTTCCTTTTTTAAAGGATATAACCCCATGTAATGAGTATACTGTGCATAGAAATGTTTGCCAAACTGGACTATAGCGTGGCCCTGACATGGTCATTTAATTTCACGGCAATGAGCTCTTTTGTCCGTTGGATGAGCACTCTGACAATAGTCACTTCACACAACTGTCCTGCTGTGCTCTGTCAGATGGGACCCTCTGTTGCAGGCTGTGTGGGCCTCTCCCAGCCCCTGATGTGCTCCAATGAACAATGTTTATGGGGCCCTGCTGTAAGCCGGGCACTGTTCTGGGCCGTGGGGACGCAGAAATGCTTACCCAGACCATCTCTGCCCTCTAGAGAGCACACTGTGACGTGATGGGGCATCAGCCCAGACAAGCACATAGCCAGAGCACACTGTAAGAGCCCAGCAGCTTTCACGACCATCAGTACCTTGGGGACACCAGGGACACAGCACTTATTCTCTCCCAGGAATGGCACACAGGGGAACACGGTCTCCAGGACCTCAGCCATTACTGCAGCAGGACCGTCCTTCCCTCGGCCTGCAGGCCCTGTCCCTCACTCTGTGCTCTGTCCCCAGGGCTGGACATTCACTTCATCCACGTGAAGCCTCCCCAGCTGCCCTCAGGCCGCACCCCAAAGCCATTGATGATGGTACATGGCTGGCCCGGCTCCTTCTATGAGTTTTACAAGATCATCCCACTGCTGACTGACCCCAAGACCCACGGCCTGAGTGACCAGCACGTGTTTGAAGTCATCTGTCCCTCCATTCCTGGCTATGGCTTCTCAGAGGCATCCAGCAAGAAAGGTACAAGGTCCTGAAGCACAGCCCAGACTGTGCTGTTTTTGCCAGTGTCTGCCAGGGCCGGCAGCACCCTGAGCCCTGTGCTGTGGCTCACAGATTTCTCTGGTGACTGCAGTGCCCTGAGGGAGGCGGGACCAAGCACAGCTGTGGCCTGGGTCGTGTCTGCCAGGGCCGGCAGCACCCTGAGCCCTGTGCTGTGGCTCACAGATTTCTCTGGTGACTGCAGTGCCCTAAGGGAGGCGGGACCAAGCACAGCTGTGGCCTGGGTCTTCCTCAGGTCACCAAGGCTCCTTCCTTCTCGTCTCCTGTGAGCTTCTTTCTCCTCGGCCCAGGGAAAGAAAGGTCTGGGGAATTTCCAGGCACCTGGGCACCTACCCCTGACTCCCCTGTGTAATGCTCATTGCACTGGTAAGTTGTCACATGTTGTTGAAGCTCACAGTGAAGCTGGTTCCGGAAGCAAGGATGCTGACAACCCCCACAGCAACCCCTATTTCAGACTCAAGCATGTTGATCTCAAAGTGTCCTTCAGGACACCCAGTCCTGGGTCAGGCTGGCCCCTGACTCTGTAACAGAAAGAGGGAAAAACGGCAAGCAGCTAAGAGTATTAAAAACATTGCATCCTGGAGGACAGCTAGAAGGCAAACTTACTTCCAACAGACGCTGCTCTTGTTTATTGCATGGTATACAAATACCAAAGGTGGGAAACTCATCCGTAGAGAGAAAATTCTCCACGGGGAGTTCTAGCTGGTGGCCTCAACTTCCCTCGTTGATTTCTGCTGGGTGTTTGTGAGGCCTCTTTATTGCTTGCTTTCTCAGGCACGTGCCACTGCTCATCTCTACAGCCTGTCGCAGACTTCTGATTTGATGATGTTTTGCTATTTTATCTGCTGCTGCTAAGTCTGTACTTAACAAACTCACTCATTCAGAGTTCAAAGCGCGGCTACCGTAGACCGTTCTCAACTGCAGAACTGTTTGTCCCCTTCACACTCAGGCTTAAATACGGTGGCCACTGCCAGGATCTTCTACAAGCTGATGTCTCGGCTGGGATTCCAGAAGTTCTACATTCAAGGCGGGGACTGGGGGTCCCTCATCTGCACCAACATGGCCCAGATGGTCCCCAAGTGAGTGGGCACAGCCTCACCAGGGCCTGTGGGTGGGTGGAATCCACACACGACACAGGACAGTCCTGACAAGAACACTCTAGAAATTTTTTCTCTTTCCCAACCACCTACCTCCAACTCAGTGGCTGCCCCAGAGGGAAGGGTGCTGAAGGAGGCTGGCCTGTGTGTGCTCTTAAGTTCTTCGGTCTGTGCCTGTCCTCCCTCTCCTCTCACACCCGTCCTTCATAGCAGCCAAGCTCACCTGTGTGCATTCCTCTGCCCACAGCCACGTAAAAGGCCTGCACCTGAACATGGCTTTCATTTCAAGAAGTTTTTACCCCATGACGCCTCTCCTGGGCCAACGTTTTGGGAGATTTCTTGGCTACACTGAGAGAGATATGGAGCTGTTGTACCCCTTCAAGGAGAAGGTTTTCTACAGCGTCATGAGGGAGAGTGGCTACTTCCACATCCAGGCCACCAAGCCAGACACTGTGGGTAAGCACCCCAGGGCGGGGGATACAGCCTTCACCCACAAAGTCCCTCACAGGGAAAGCGGAACTCTTTGTTTCCCCGACCGAGAGCTGACCCCAGGGCTTTACACATGCCAGACAGGTGACCTGCTGCTCCGCACAGCTATAACCCCATGTATGAGAGGCAGAGTCGAGGGGTTGGGCCAGCCTAGTCTACACAGTGAGTCCCAAGCCATCCTGAGCTACATAGCAAGACTCTTAACTCAAGAAAGAAAGAAAAAAGAAAAGGAAGGGAAGAAGGAAGGGAAAAGAAACTAAAAAAATTAATTCCTAAGAAAAATGATAAGATGATCAAACAATAGTTTGCTCAGAAGTATTTAGAATACAAATTGTTTTCTTATATTTATGGTTGTGAGCCTAGCCTTTAATGGCTGAGCCATCTCTCCAGCCCACAAATTGTTTTTTAGTGGGTACAGAGCTCGCTAGCCCCCACAGGCCTGGTGACACAAGCAGTTGTGTAACCCCGGCTGCTCTGGATCCTACAGCAAGAGAATCCAAACAGTCATAGCCTGCCTGAAGAGCTTTGGCTGAGACCCTGTCTCTGAATAAACAGACAAGGAGTGAGGCAGCTGACTGGGAGAGTGTTTGCCTTGATCCTGCTAAGTCCTTGGGCCGAATCCCCAGTACAGAAGAAAAAAAAAATACCACTAAAAATGTATTTCTTCTTGAGACCAGAATCACTTCTGTTTTCCTGGTTTTCTATCATTTACACAGCTGTAAAATATATGAAAGACAAGGGAAGGTGGGACCATCCTTAGAACAGCGCTTCTCAACCTTGCTAATGCTTTCGCCCTTTGGTACAGTTCCTCATGTTGGGGTGACCCCCAAACACAAAATTATTTTCGTTGCTACTTCATCACTGTAATGTTGCTACTGTCATGAATCATAATGCAAATATCTGATATGCTGGATATCTGATCTGCCATCCCTGTGAAAGGGTCATTTGACCCTAAAGGGGTCATGACCCACGGGTTGAGATCCACTGCCCTAGCTGCTCCAAGGACTGTCAGGTGTCCTTTGGATGTCCCTCAAGTCCCTCAGAGGACACCTGGAGTCATCTTGCCTATTTTGGGGCTTCCCACAGTTCCCTTGGCAGTTCCATACCCACCCCAAGGACCCACACCGCTCCCGATCATATAAGCACTTGGTAGAGTCAGGCCTTCTCTCCAGTTGCAAAGCAGCCTTTTGTCGTGTGACTAGAAGTGCAAAACACAGTACAGAGAACTCAGTCTCCAGTCTCCTGCCTTCCGACTGCACTGCCCAGAAGAGCTTGCCGACATTGTCCCTTGTACGTGTTGTAAATGCAAGTCCCCAGGTAGCCAGACACAGCTGGTGGACTGTTTGGGGACCTCAGCGGTCCTCTCACTTTCTAAGTAGATGTCCTCGGGTGCCGTTGCCTGTCCTCATCCTTTGGTGGGTGGAGAGAGCATGGACTCTGTGCTCTTGCTCCTTGTGCTCAGCATGACTTTTGTGATGCTTCTATACTGTTATCTCCCAGCGTTGGTATTTAATGCCGGAAATGGTACCTAGAGCCTCATGAATGCGAAGCAGGTGCTGCTCACTGACCTACCCTGCCCCTGCTGTTTCAGTGGCAGGATCAGTATTGTAACTCATGGACACATCAGTATTGATTTGTAACCATTTATCCTGTTTTTGCCAAAATACAGTCTGTGACTCCCATAAGATTACAGGGAATATTGATCTCCGCTTGCTGTGTGGGGCGACGCAGGCCAGGGCTGCAGAATTGGGGTGCACAGCTAGACCTGCTGTTGCTCTGTGGTTCCCACACTTCCGTCCTGGAGTCACGTGCTCTCCGGAGCCAGGCTTGACTCCCTCCCTTGCTCCTTCCTGCCCAGGCTGTGCTCTGAACGACTCTCCCGTGGGCCTGGCTGCATACATCTTAGAAAAGTTCTCCACCTGGACCAAGTCAGAAAACCGTGAGCTGGAGGATGGAGGCCTGGAGAGGTGAGGTCCCACCAACTTCCTGTCAGCCTGGATCCCCAGGGCTGTCTCTCTCTGCCTGACATTCCAACCCCGTCTCCAGGAGCTCCGTGGGGGAAGCCAGCAAGCTTCTTCAGGCCTTGGCTTATGCACCTTCTACTCCATGGTTAATGGAGTCCTGTATAAGGGATGGTGGCAGACATAGAGGCAATGAAGGGCCAGTGACTTGTTCAGCCTCCTAGTTGGTGGTGAAACAAAATATGTGTGCCAGGAAGTCCCCAGAGCAGCATATACCCTTTTTTGCAGAATAGCTGGTCCTTCTTACATGGGACCTGTACAGCCTGTGAGCTCTGTGGAAACCAATGGGAATGGGCAGAGCTGTGAGAGAGCATGAGGGCGCGCTGGTGTGTCGCTCTGACAGAGCTGTGTCCAAGGAGCCTAGCGTTGATGCCAAGCTCACTTTTGGCATAATCACAGTGAGGGGCGTAGACTGCAAGGCATCCAAGTGGGGGGTCCACTCGGGGCCTGGATCCACAAAGGTAGAGCTGGGGTAAGATGCTGTATGGAAGAGACAGTCCCATGTGGTCTAGTTGATCTGGGGTAGGTAGGGCTGAAAATGGGATTAGCATCATCTAAGGATTCTGGGAAGTCTGGTTGACCACAGAGAGGGACAGACTGTGAGGACAGAGCCGGTAAGAGCCTCACTCCTACAGACCTGAGCAATGAGAGCACTTTCAGGGTGCAGGGCTGAGAAGGAACAGGAGTAGAGGTGGGGGCGGGGAGGCAGCTGGTGATGAATCCTGAGAGCAGATGATGTAGCCAGCCAGGGAGGAGGAGGCTAGCAGCAGCCAAGAAGGCTGATGGGCTGACTCAGGGACCAACACTGGCAGGTCAAAACACCTCTAGGGCAGGAAAACCCGGAAATTCCCGGCCCAGACACAGTGGGCATGGGTGCCTGCTAGCCTAAGATCTTCTCAAAAAGGGTGTCTATGGAGGTGGGACTGAGGTTGAGGCCTTTGGAGGAGTCAGACACTGGGGTTGAAGGGGTCGGCAGGGTTAGGAGGCCACTTAGGGCTGCAGCTAGTTACAGATAAGGCTCAGAGGACCATAGGGCTGAAACACTGTGGTCAGCCCGTGCCATAGATGGGGGGCTGGGTAGTGGCAGCCTATAGCCCAGAGACATTTCTACAAGGCAGACAGCTACCAGAGACGGCTGGGACTGTGGTCTGTGAAAGGTCACACCCTTGAGCGGCAACTCTAATTCCTCAGCCCTTCCCTGGGCCCCCAGCCTATGAGAACTAGGCAAGGTCTAACGTGATCAGCCCGAAGGGAGAAACACTTTGTTGCTGACATCCAGGCTTTCACTGAGCCTGGACATCCTGTGTGCTTTCCCAGGAAGTTCTCCCTGGACGACCTGCTGACTAACATCATGATCTACTGGACGACAGGAACCATTGTCTCCTCCCAGCGCTTCTACAAGGAGAACATGGGCCAGGGCATAATGGTCCACAAGCATGAGAAGTAAGCCTGGCTGAGCAGGAAGAGGGGCCTCTAGGGCTGGGGGATGGTTACCACCTATCCTTTACCTCAGAACAGGCTTGATGACAAGGTAAGAAAGACACCAGACATCCTCACTTTCTGCTCCTTTCAGGGGTTGGCCTGCTGGGTCAGGGGCTTTGAGATTCACAGGCCTATCTGCAGAGGGACAGCCAAGCAAAGTGGGCATCAGAGGCTGCCCTTGCCCTGCTGAGTGACCTCCCTGGCAGAGAAGGTTCTTAATGAATGAAAAGTAGAGAGTATAATGGAGGGTAGCCACACCCTTGTCATTACGGCCTGGTGGGACTTGGCTGAGCCTCTTCAGGCCCTAGGAGTGTTCTCTGGAAATAAGGTCACAGCTCCTCAGCTCGCCTCTCTTCCCCGCAGGATGAAGGTCTTTGTGCCCACCGGCTTTTCGGCCTTCCCTTCCGAGTTGCTGCATGCCCCAGAAAAGTGGGTGAAGGTCAAGTACCCCAAACTCATCTCCTATTCCTACATGGAGCGTGGGGGCCACTTTGCTGCCTTTGAAGAGCCCAGCCTTCTGGCCCAGGACATCCGCAAGTTCGTGTCCCGAGCAGAGCTGCAGTGATGGCGCCAGGTTCCAACCATGGCTTCAGCGGCAGCCTGCTTCCTCCCAGGCCACGCTTAGGGACACTGACCCCTTTCTGAGGAGTAAGTTTGCTTCTGTCTCCTGACCACACTAGGGGGCCAGACTGAACCCCCGCAGAGTCACCTCTCACCACCCCCGTAGGCTCCACCCTACTCCACACCTGTGTTAAGTCCGTGGCTTTAATGATAAATGGATTTATTTCTAACGTGTGGAGCAAATGCCATGTGTTTCTTAGACACCCACATGGAGCTTCCTTTCCAAAAGAGAGTTGCCAAGTGCTCTCCCCGCCACCCCATGTTGTTGAGTCCTACTAGGTCCTCTGAACCGGCCCGGGTGACTAGGACAGAGGGGCAGTTAGGTGCCACCAGCAGCCAAGGCCCTGCAGCACGAGGCAGCCTCAGAGAACCACGAGCACCTCTTGAGCCACTCACAGGGCGCAGGCCACTGGGAACAGGTTGTGTGGCTGGCAGTTGTCTGTGAGAAGGTCCAAGTACACCAGGCCCAGCCATGTCTCCAAGTGAGCCCAGAGAGGTCTGCAGAGCTGTTTTTGGTCCCATGGGGTTCTGAGGTGGAGGGAAGGATCTGGAGATGGAGGTGCTCGGTTCTGGACCACCAAAGCAGGCCCCAAAAAACCTCCCCCCATCACAATCCTGTGCCTCAGGCATTCCCCCAGCAGGCCTCAGGGAGGATGCCCTGAACTTCAAGTGGCTGCCCAGCTCCAAGACCCCACTGGGGAAAACACAGGGGGCTGCCTGACCTTCTGGGGTTACAGCTTCTGGACTTAGGACTGCCACAGACCGACCCAGTCGGGCCCCATAACCACGGGAGAATCAGAGGTTTGGATAGTCAGGAAGACCCCAGGTTCAGCGGTGACAGTCAGAGACGACACCAATGAGGCTTTGAATCTGCTGCCATTTTACTGAAGTCAGGCTAATAATTTTATAGTGATTTCATAAGGAAGCACCTTAAAGTTGTCATACTTTCCGGAACATTTAGACTTTTACCAAGAATACAAAGTTTACATTTTAACATAGGGCAGTGCCCACAAGAAATCTTGGCCTGAGAACTTTTGATCAAAGCAGACAAAGGACAAAATACCTTAAACTGCAGTTTCATTATTGCTAACTAGTGAAGAGGAAAGTCAGGAGCTGTAATAGTCCTCCGAGCCAAGTCGGATGCCTGCCAAAGTCTTTCTCTGCATCAAAGTCTAAATACACCTTTGTTAATCATCCTCCCATATGCCTTGCTAAAGATTTACGATCCTCCTTAGAGATAAGATACCAAGGGGGACACGCTCGAGCCAGCTGTACTTTCCCATGCTATCTTTCCCTAAAAAGGAGTCCACTATTTTTTTCGCTATTCTTGTAATGCTTTCTGATACTGAATCTGATTCATTACTTCTCTTAAGATTTTATTTTTCTTCCACTCTATTCTTGCTAGAGCTTTTAATAATCTATCAACGATTTGTTTCCTTGAATAGTTAATTGTGCTGTTCCAAGAATCATAAAGAACAAAAGGCTCATTATTCCAACCCCGCAACAGAGGAAGCGTAGGAATCTTGGAGTACGTCTTTTTGGCTCAGGTGGCCAGGGGCGAGCACTTTGCCTGGGACCTCCAGGGAGCTTATTCCCGAGGGAAGCGTATCTCCTGTCTAACAGCCCGACCTTTTGTCATGCTCACACAGACGACACTGGAGTTGGTGTGGCATAGGACACTCCAACACCCGGCCTGAGTGCCCCAATCTCCAGCTGCCACTCTGTCTTCACATCCCATGAGCCCCCTGGCGCTGCTCCTCCCACCTTAGAGTTGACACCTGAGGAGCCTGCCCGGAATCTCCCAAAGCTGCCTAGGAGGGAAGAGAGACGGGGTCTTACGAGCTAGGCCCAGTGGGTACGTTATTAATAGTCTTCATTATCCCTGCTTACTCTGTGGTGACCCAGAGCCTCCGCCCTGATCCAGCCAGAGTCCCGGGTAACATGATACGAAAACCCAGAACAACAGATATGGAGCTGCTAGGGACCTGCTGCAGTCAGCAATGGCAGGTGCCTTCCTGGTCACCACACCTCCCTGCTGGGAGGCCCTAAGCGGGGCTGCAGTGGGCCTCTGGAACCCATCTGGAGTCCATCTCCGACCCAACTCCTGCAAGATAGTGATGGAGTTGTCCACACACACATTTCAGAGGAAATGCACCTTCCTGGTGCTGTATTCTGGCAGATTCTCCTGATATATGGGAAGCCAGGCTGTCTGTGGAGAAGGACGTGTGTTAGCTATGCCTCCTCCCAGGCTCAGGCTGGGAATGCAGGCTCTCAGGCACCCACCTGGCCTGCTCTCCTGCTGTTGGCTGGGCCTCAGGTGTCCCTGGGTAATGATGGTTCCTGAGAACCTTCTCATCAGGGCTCTCTTGCTGTTGGCAAGGCCTCAGGTTTCGCTGGGTAATGATGGTATCTGGAGACCTTCTCGTCATGGATTTGTCCAAAGACAGACTGTTTGTTCTAAGTAGAGTCCCTGACTTCAAGGAGGTATCAACTGGAAAGTCCAAGACTGCTCTCCTGCCCTCAGCTGTTACTGCCCTGGGTTTCAGTGCCCTCCCAATGGCAACATCCGTAGGCTAGAGAAGAGGAGACCCAGGAAGGAAAGGGGTCCTGGTTTCTCCAGGCGGCTTGCCTGCCACTTCCCTTTGCGGGGGTGAGTGTTTGCTGCCCCCTTGTGGCTTGTTCAGAGTACTTTACAGGGGCACGTGACTAGCCAGAGCCATGACTTCACCCATCCACAGAGCTGTCTGTCTGGCTGCTCTGAAGGCCCAGCTCTCTAGGCAGCGGGTCTGAGGGAGTCAGATTCGGAGGGCACTGCAGGCCACAGGTGGGCATCTGTCCTTCAAAGCTGCCCCTTCATCTGCAGGGGATGTCTTTCAAGAGTCCCAACAGATACATGAAACTACGTTAGAGCCTTAGACCCGCCACTTAGGGCACACTGTGGCTGGAATTGGCCATTGATGCCACCGTGAATAAAGCAGTGATTTCCTTTTCTTCTTTATAAGTCTGTAGAGCCAAGATTCACTCTTTAAGGGTCTCGGCATTTGACTTTTTTCTTTTCTCATAAGTTTCACCTGACAGAAACTTTTCCCTTCTTGGCATTCTGAATGCCACGTGATTCCCTTTGCCCGCTGGTGGCATCATTAAGTGAAATATTGGCACTTGGCCCCGAGCACTGACCACTGATCTGGTTAACAGGCCTGAGGCTGGTGAGTAAAGGGGTAAGAGGTGTGGCCATGTGGGAACAGGGTTCACATGGGGGGACGGACTACCTCCTGGGAACAATGTGTGAGTTCATTTCTGAAAGGAGAGACAATGTAAAAGAAAACCAGACTAACCCTATTCCTAGAAAACATGCTCCCATCCTTAAAAGACCCTAGAAGGGGCTGGAGAGATGGCTCAGCAGTTAAGAGCTCTGGCTGATCTTCCGGGGGACCTGGGGATCTGACATCCTCTTCTGGCCTCTGTGGACAACCAGCACACATGTGGTATACAAACATACATACGGGCAAAACCCTCATATGACAAAATAAAATAGAAATGGGGGGGCTCTGCCAAACACTCCTGGCTCGATAAATACTTTCCGGGAAGCACAGGATACAAAAGCGGCAGATAACGCCAGTCGGTTTTCTCTGCGCCAGTAACAAACTTGTTGAGGAAGGAATCAGACTCCAGTCACAGTAACTTTTCAAAAGTGAGTCCCTGGCTGGAGAGGCAGTCCAGCAGTGAAGAAGACTGCCTGCTCTTCCAGAAGTCCAAATTCCCAGCATCCACATGGGACTCAGCATCTGTAACTCTGGGTCCAGGAGATCCAGTGCCCTGTTCTGGCCTCTGCAGGCACCAGACACACGTGTGGTGTACAGACATACATGCAGGCAGAACACATACATAAAAGAATAAAATTTAAAGGTAATTAAGATAGGAATAAATGTAACAAAGGAAGTGAAAGAACTCTACAGTGAAAACTTCAAGACACTAAAGAAATACTGAAGATAATAGACAATCATCTAGTGGAAAGATCTCCCCTGCTCATGAACAGGCAGAGTTAATATTGTAAAAATGTCTGTATTACTGGAAGCGCGCTGTAGGCTGAACCCAGTTCCCATTAAAATTCCAACAATATGCTTCACAAATCATAAAAAAAAATCACTTCAAAAATCATAAAATTTATATGGACACGCAAACAACCTAGGTAGCCAAAGCGATCCTAAGCAGAAAGAGCAACGCTGGAAATGCCGAAGTACCTGGCCTCAAATTGCTTTAAAGGACTATAGAGACAACAACAAAAATAAACATGTAGACCAATGGAGTACAGGACAGGACCAGATATGAACCTGTACCATGACAGCCACCTATTTTTATTTTTTAACCAAGGTGTCAAACACATTGATAGAAAGCCTTAACACAAGGTGCTGAGAGAACTGGGCATCCATATCCAGGAGAACCAAACTAGATCCACGTCTCTCACCCTGCACAGAAACCTATTCGAAGCGGATCGGAGAGCTTCATGTAAGACCTGAACCTGTGAAGCTGCTAAAGCAGACCTTCAGAAAACCCAGATGTTTACATTACGATTCCTAACAGCAGCAAAATTAAAGTCCTGAAACAGCAGCAAAAGAATTGTATAGTCCGAGGTCACCACAGGGGGAGCTGTGTTAAAGGGTCACAGCGTCAGGAAGGCTGAGAACCACTGTGCTAGAGAAATACCGGGGCAACACTTCAAGATGATATAGACACAGGCAAGGACCTTCTGGAGAGGGCACCAGTGGGCCAGGAAATAATCTCAATTCACACACCGACTGCATGACATTAAAAACCTGCCCAGCAAAGAAAACCATCAGCATAGTGAGGAGACGGGACTTCACACCTGATGAGGAATAGCAAGGATCTATACTGAGTTCCAAAAGTGAAATACACCCCCCCAAACATCCAGTCGATAGATGAAAAATGAACAGCTCAGAAGAAGAAAAACAAATGACCTGAAAAATACGTGAAAAGGAAATGCTCCAAATAGGACCTCAAATGCCAGTGAGGCTATGAGGAAGATGAGCCTTACCTAATGCTGTTGGTGGGAAAGTACACTGGGTGCAACTGCTGTGGAAACTGGTACTAGAACTGCTGGGTGGGAGAAATGGCTCACCCGGTGAAGGTCCCACTTTATACACCCTGCAAAAATAAAGCCACCGCTACCCTGGGTGACAAGTTTCTTTGTGAGGTGGGGCGGGCCTGTGGGCAGGGCTTTGATGGACCGTCTGCTCCTCAGCCTGCTCCTGGCTCTGATTGTTTGGCTTCTGTTCCTGATCCACTGCCAAGGGTTGATCAGCCTTTCCTTCAGGGTGAAAATGCAGTATAGGAGCTTCCTTCTGGCTGGTAGCCCTGCCTTGGCAGGCTGTGCCCACCCTCACCCCTAAAGGTAGTGTGAGGTTTACTACTGTAAATGACTGTTGGGGGCAAACCGGGCAGCCGTGGGTACCCTAGCAGCCAGAAAGGTGTTCTTCAGACAGGAATTCTAAAGGGCTGTGCTGGCTTGTCTACACATGTGTATGCGGTTCTGTGCTCTTCTCTGCTGTCTAGTCAGTACTGTCTGAACTGTTGCTCTGTTAAAATGCCCTAGCACAGCAGCTTAAGGACGGAAGTATTTGCTTGACTCGTGGTTCCATGGCCCGTCGTGACAGGAAACCCATAGCTGAGTGTGAGTCACGCTGCTCCAATAGTCAGGGTGCATGGAGATGAAAGTGCGCTCACTTTCTCCTTTTTCCTGATCACGTTTGGGGAGTGATAACACACTCACTGGGTGGATCTTCCTGCCTCAGTTAACCTAATCATGATCATCCTCATCAGTGTGCCCGGAGGCTCATCCGTCTGGTGATTTTAGATCTCATCCGGTTGACCATTGATTCGACAACACATCTACCATTACAACTCTCTGACTCCTGCACATTTTTTTTAATTGAGTCTCATAATGTAGCCCAGGCTGGCCTGGAACTCACAGACACCGGCCTACCTCTGCCCTCTGCCCCCTGGCCTCTCCCACGTGTCTATCTTCTTCTGATTCCTTTCACTAATAGCTCCTCCTCTTCTTCCTCTCTCTTCTGCCTCTTCCTCCTCTTCTTTCTCCTCTTTCTCCTCTTTTTCCACCTCCTCTTCCTCCACTTCCTCATCCTCTTCTCCTTCTTCTTCTTTTGAGGCAGGGTTTCTCTGTGTATCCTTGGCTGTCTCTGTGGTTTATTTTGACTTATATTCCTCTAGGCTTATATCCAGTTCTACGACTAAGTCATATGGTACTTCTGGTTTTAGTTTTTCGAGGAAACTTCTTCATGCTGATTTCCATAGTGGCTGTATTGATTCACATTCCCATAAACTATGTATAAAGATTCCTTGTCAGTCTTTGCTGTTGTTTCCTGACCTATTGAAGAAGATTCAGTTCCATAAATATGGCTTCCTCATGAATCTGTAGCTTTGTTGATTATCACATCTTTGAGAACCAACCTTCAGCAGGTCAATGCTGGTTGCCACTCTGGGAAGTAACACTAGACATGAGCTTTGGGACTATTAGTAAATGAAGTCAGGCCTGGACACAGCTCCGCTATACTGTGACAATCTCCATCACAGGTGCATACTAGTAATTGACTAACAGGCACCTGTCACGCGCAGTTTTGGTGCAGCAGATAGGAATAGCTTATGAAGCGGGGATAGAGGAGGATATGGGAGACATTATCGTGCCACTCGGAACGGAACACGGTTTTAAGTGATGACTTATGTCTGCAGTTTCTATATAACGTTTTCAGGTTGCAGTTTTCTCACACCTAACCAAAGCTCCACACAAAAGGAGACTACTGGGCAAAGTTGGCACGGGCCATCCTAACATCCTGGATTCCCTTCCTTTAGTGGAGCTCCAGCGATGATCTCTTGGCATTTGGTCTCGGGGTCACTGAGGTTCAGTGTGCCGTTTGAAGTCCAGAGTGATAACTGCCCTGTGCATACAGCAGAGTGACTGAGTCATTAGGACTGTGCAAGTGTGCAAAGGGAGAGTGAGTGGGACTCACACTCAGTCTGCCCGGCCTCGCCCAATGGCTCTGGATGCGACTGTGTGCAGAGCTCCATAGGCCTGCTGCTTCAAGAGGCCTCAAGGAGCCAGCACTGAGCCCTGGTGGACCACAGAGCATGCTGGGATAATTCTGCCCAGAAAAGGAAAAGGCCAGCACCTTTGTCCCCAGGGAACACAACAGCGGTGCTTTGGTCTGATAGTGGAGCTGACTGTCCAGTTCTCTGGGCAGGTTGCTAGCTTTCCTGCTGCCCTTACTTGATGCTCTCCTGATGACATAACTCACAATTGTTTTATTTGCTTCCAGGACCTGTTAGCAGGGTCTGATATGAAGGTGACTGTCTGTGCTGACTGTGGTGCAGTGTGCTAGGGACTGTGTGTGACAGGAGCCGAGACAGACATAGCCATAGCCTCACCTTCTGGAAACAGGATCTGTTATGTGCTCTTACACACAGGCGCACACACACACACACACACACACACACACACACACGGCCATGTTCCCACAGTTCCTACACCTACCCTTTCTTCAGTGACAGGAGTGCACCAGAGGACGCTGTGCACCTTCTCTCAAAGGAAGGTCTCTGTCAGAGAGAAGTTAGCTCTGGATAGCAAGCAAGCAAGCAAGAAGAAGAGGAGGAGGAGGAAAGGGAAGGGAAGGGAAGGAAAGGGAAGGATAGGGAAGGAAAGGGAAAGGGAAATGGAAAGGGAAAGGGAAAGGGAAGGGAAAGGGAAAGGGAAAGGGAAAGGGAAAGGGAAAGGGAAAGGGAAAGGGAAAGGGAAAGGAAGAAAGCCATGCAATATTCTTTCTTAATCCCCTAAAGTCAGATGGCCAAGACTGCAGCCATCCCTGGCCTGTTTTCATCTGAGGGATGCTGGTCTCACCACCAGACTAATAGTTATCCTGGGGACAGACATTGGGGGAGCCTTGGGTTAGGACAGGAAACCTTCAGCCTGACAGGTCAGGAACAGCACTCCCCAGGGTCCCCATGCCGCCCTCTGGCAGGGATGGGCAAAGCCTGCTCATGGTACAGAGACTCCAAACTGTCACGGAGACTCTGAGCCACACAACTTACAGTTGGAAGGGAGAAATGTGTGAGAAGTTCAAGTCTGTGTTCACAGGGCGTCTGGATGGAGGAATATGGCTGAAGGGAGGCCTGAGTGTGCCTGTGACTGGAGCTAATGCCGCCAATGTTTTGGTTTGGTTTTTATGGGACTGTGGTGAATTTGCCTTGGCTTCATTCTCTGATGGAGAACGAGAAGGTGCCTGAGCAGAGGGGAGCTGGGCTGGGAGGGGGCTGAATCGGCGTGGCAGCAGTGATGGATGGGTGGAGGCCGATGATGGGCCTGGGAGCTCAGTACGCTCCTGCCACACATGAGAGTTTTCACACACATCAGGAAGCAGGTGCCTGACAGCGCTGCAGAGGCCTCTGGGCTGGTGCTCTTCACAGCAGTCTATTCAGGCATGGCTCCCTCTGGCTCAATTAAGGGACCCTTGGTAGGAGTACCCTAGGACCTCTACAAACACCCATGAAGAGCCTGACACAGAGGTGGGGGGCTTTCCTGTTTGGGGTTTCACTGTCTAGAGTGACTCTGAGCCCGTCTTGTTCCCTCCATGCTCTGTCCTCCCACTGATCCTGAAGGCACTGTGTCTGTGAAACCTCCTCTGTTCCTGCTCCAGCCAGCTTCTTCCACATAGCTATGCCGACTAGATGGAAGATGGAGAGCTAGGCCACAAGGCAGGGTGAGTCTTCCTCTTATTGCCTTGCAGTGACTAAGTTCTTTTCTTCCTCACTTAGAAAAAATGCACAGGACTCAAACAAACGGAATGAGCACATCATTGGTATTTTCTGAGCTTTAGTGGGCCATAAGTAGACACAGAAAATCAAGAAGTGGTTGCATTGGGCCCAGGTAGAATGGAAAGGAGGAACCAGCTACATGGGTGGCTGCACTCGGCATGAGTACACGCCAACCCACTGGATTGTACACTAGAAAGTACATGGAAGGGTGTGAGCATTCTATTTCAATAGCTGCTGGAAACACACGGAGATGATATGGGTGGCCAAAGATGAGCTTCCATTACAGACAACTAGATTCCATCTCCAAGAACCTTGACTTCTTGCTTCCCTGTGTGCGCCTCAAGGACAGCGACAGAGCAAGGAGCCCAGGCAGCTCCAGCCTCAGCCCAGACGCTGCTGCCAGGCCCTCACTGTGGGTAGTCCCTCATCTCCAAGGGACCACGGTGTACAGAAAGCCTTCCTGGCAGCTCCAGGAGCAGAAGACTCCTCCAGGGCCCCAGGCTTGAGAATGCATCCTCGGGCCCCACCCAGAGCTGTGCCAAAGTCACCACACCCATTTTCCCCCGGAATAGTCAACGTTTTGGTTTGGTTTTTGTGGGACTGTGGTGAAATTGCCTGACTTCTCCTTGGCTTCCAACTTTTCTCTACATAATTTCAGGATTGCTGACCTAACCATAAAAATTATCAGCCAAACATGTGGTCCATGCCTGTTGTCCTGGGTCCAAGGGAGACTGAGGCAGGAGGAAAGGCTGAGCTTCAGAGTTTGAGGCCACCCCGAAGATCACAGCCAGAACCCTCCTCAGAATCATTACAGGAAACAGAGTCTCTGAGCGCTACTGTTTATTTCAAACAGCAGATCACAGCACCGAGAACACACAAATTGTCATAAACCATGCACATAGCCAAAGAGGTAGGAACAAAGGGATGGTTTTACAGGCAAAATAAGGAATGAGGAACTGAGGGTCAGAGCGGTAGAGTTCTAGCCTAGCGTGGATTGTAGCACCAGCCACAACAATCAAAACAAAAAATCCCAAAGACACATGGCAGAGTCTTTGGTTTTTGGTGTGTGTGTGTGTGTGTGTGTGTGTGTGTGTGTGTGTGTGTGTGTTGGTTTTGATGTGGTTGTTGTTTAATGATCCTTAACTATGGTTATCTGTAAGGACAGTGGCCTCGTACTCAGATTGGGCACACAGTTACGGTGTTGACTCCTTGCAGAAGCTCTTCCATGTGAGGCCGTCCCACCTAGGGTGGGGCAGTCTTTTGAGGTCCGCTACCATCAAACACGCAGAAGAATCTTTCCTGTAAACCCTGGGATTTTTGTGTTTTCTGGTGTCGCTAAGGCAAGAAGCCTGGTTTTCCTTTTGTCACTGTTGGCATTTTCCTCACAGGACAAACATGAATAAATAGCCAGGAGTTTATGGGGCAGGCACCAGGGATGAGCCCCTAGACATCTGGAGTCACTGGCCTGCCAGGCAGCAAGTCCTGCCCAAGTCATTCCTCTTGGCTCTTCTCTTCATCTTGTAATGGAAATTTACTCAACCCAGTGAGAAATTTAACCGGCACTCAGAGACAAGAGGAGGAACTTTTTAAAGTGTGTGGCCAGGGCCCTGCTAGCTAATGAGATTCCACCTGGAAAAGAAATGTGTCGAAATGTACATAGGATGTTGTAATGTAACCTTACACACGCTTCATTTGCAGGTGGCCTTTTTGTCCCCTTCATCCCGCCCCCCACGCCTCCAGGGACATTTTTGAGCCATTAAGCGAGTGTTGCTGAAGCAGAAACTGAAGGCTTTTGTTATCTCTATGCTACATTTTTTGAGGGCAATTGAGCTGGTCAGAGCCTGAGGATCTCGGTTACCTCTGCCTTAAACAAGACCTAAGCGGCTCTCAAGGTCATTCCTTCAAGGCCGCCTGTTTGCTCCCTTGTAAGAAGAGGAGTTTCCGGTGAGCACAGCTTTAACAGACAGCTTTATAGACCTAAGTCGGAACTATAACGGTTTCTCATTGCTCTATACATACTGTGTGGGAGGAGCAGGTCGTAAGCTGCCTAGCTCACAGTTCTGTTCCAGTGACACCGAGGCAGACCCTCAGTTTAATTCATTTCTATGTAACCTAATGCTTCCCAAGCAAGCCTACAAGTGAATCCCTTTGCCATATTTAATTAATGTTAGAGCTTATTATTTCTCTTTTTCCGTTCAGTCTCCCAGGAGTCACGTGGCTGGAACTTCTACTGGTCTCAGTGCTGGGCCTTGTCATCTACTGGTGTGTCTCCCGGGACAAGGAGGAAACGCTGCCACTTGCAGATGGGTGGTGGGGCCCAGGGTCAAAGCCCTCAGCCAGAGCAGACGGGAGCATCCGGCCTTCCAAGGTCCTTTCCCAGGCCAGAGCAAAATCAAGGTGCAGCCCTGCTAGATGGTCTCTCTGACTTGGATGAAGGCATGGGTGGGGAGGAGCTAGGGAGCCAGCCCTTAGGTGACCTTTATCTGTCCAGCCTTCTTCCTGAGGTGGGCCCTTACCGTGAGCTGGCTACTCATGGACCCATCATGGTCTGTATCAAGCTGCCCAGTGGAACTTGCTGTCCCAGATCGCAGAGGCTAAAAACGAGCCTGAAAATGCTATGACCATGGGTTTCAGCAGATTGGGTGAACAGGCAGGATGATTGCAAATTCGCTGCAACGCAAACACCACTCCTGCGCAACCCTGAAGTCAAAAGAAGCAGGCTAGCAGGGACAGAGAGCAAAGGGAGGAGCCTCCTGGAAGAACCAGGACTGGGCAGAGCCCAAAGAGGGAAAAACTAATATGGTCCTATCCATCTTTTCTCACCCCAGGTGCTTGAACACCCACTGTGCGCACGCACTCTGCGTGCACACTGTGTGCAGGCGCTCTGTGGAGTGCCTGGGAGAGAACAGACGCCCTGATACACGTCCCTCATGCAGCTTCCCACACATTTAGCCTTGGTAGATGAGAAAGGAACACACAGGATTAAGATCTGGTGAGCCATGGATCAGTGAAAAGATAAATCAACAGATGCACTGACAAAAGATCACAAAAGGACCGGGTACTAGGAGGCCTGAGGATTGCAAACCTTCCGGAAAGACCAAAGCATGAGGGACGTCTCTGGGAATAGTGGCACTTGAGCTGGCCTGGGATTGAAATGGGCATGCCCAGCTGGGTTGCTGAGCTGTTATCCTGATTCACACCCAGCACACTTGGACCCCGACTCCCAGACAGTTTGTTTTATCTCACTGGGTTAGGGTGACTCATCCGACTCTTAGCCAGTGTTGGCACACCCTGGCTCCCCAGCCAAATGTAGCCTGTGACCTCTTCTTTCACTGGCCACTATCAAGAACGGCCTTCATAGCTTGAAATCAGTGTGGACACAAGCAAAAATAAACCTAATAGTTGGAGGTATGCGATGGTTGCATAGCATTTGCACTTTAGTCATATATGTAAGGTTAATGGAACACAGGCTCATTGCTTCTGCAGGGGTCATCCCTGGCCATGGCCTTGCTGCTCCTGCAAGGGTCATCGGTAGCAGCTCTTTTGCTTCATGAAGAAAATGGAGGGTCTGCATCTTGCAAAGCCTAATAATTTTGCTCTGTGGTTCTTGACAGAGTTTACCAACTCCTGATCTACAGATGGCTTGGTGAGTTAAAATTTAGTAGTGTTCTCACACCTAAGAGATGAAAGATCAGTGCTGGGTGGAGCTAAAGGGGGGCATCCATCAGGTGTGGCATATGCAAAGCCTTCCAGTCTCTCTCTCCCTGCACCTCTCATTCCACCAAAACAAAGACAGATGAAAGGGGAGAAGCCACAGGAGAGAAGCCCTAAGCCTCCCAGGGAGCCAGTGACACACATGGGGACCCTGTGTCCCCCTCCACAGTGTCCATCTATGGCTGCAGCCTTCTCTCTGAGCTGTGGGCACAGCGCTCTCCTGCCTCTGCCACCCACCCTGGCTTCTTCGCTGCAGGACTTACACCAGAGGATCGACGGGTTCCGGGCCTCCCCGCCTTTGGAGGGCAGCCGCTTCCACTACGGCTTCAATGCCAACTACCTGAAGAGAGTGGTGTCCTACTGGAGGAACGAGTTTGACTGGAGGAAGCAGGTGGAGATCCTCAACCAGTACCCTCACTTCAAGACCAAGATTGAAGGTGGGTTCCCGGGACAGCAGCCTGGCCCTGGGGGGAGGGGCAGTGAGTCACAGGAGCAGCCTTCCTGCAGGAGACAAGTGATGCCAAGTCAGCCATGCTGGAGCACCCAGGAGTCAGAGGAAGGTCACAGAGATGTAGCTGAAAGCTGTTGGATTGATTTTTTTTTTCTCTAGCATAATACTTGACAAAGACAAGCTAAGAACATCGGGTTTATTTCCCTGGTGGTTTGAGGAAAGCCGCTGCAGCAAGGGGCTGATGTCATATTGGGTCAGGAAGCAAGAAAGAAGGGTGATCCTCTCGTTTTTGTTTTTCCTTATGGTGATCAGTCTTTCAACCACCCCGTGTTGTGCATGATCAGGGTGGGTCTTCTCGCTTCTCTTAAGTCTCTGTGGGAACATCCTCGAAGGCATCTCCCAGGTGATCCCAAAACCGGCCAGGCTGGCAATAAAGATGAGAGCCATAACCCCAGAAATGTGTGGTGGAGACCCTTGGCGGCTCCCAGCCCAGGCAAAACAACTCGTGTTCCATGTTCAGTGGCAAACCCTGTCTTAAAGGAATAAGGCAGAACATTAGAGAAGGACTCCTGATGTCCTCCTTGGCCCAATCCACACACACACACACACACACACACACACACACACACACACACACACAC